CTGAAGTGTGAGTCGGCGGGGGTGGGGGGGGGCATTTGATGTCAATTCTGATACATTGTGCTTTCTGTGAGATGATGGGAACCTTATAGTTACCATACAGAGAGCTTATCTCTGACAGTGAGCTGAAAGACATATGTAACCTGGCCTAGGGGTACAAAAAGTACTAGAAGACTATCCTGTGGTGGCTCTGATAGCAGTAGTCAGGCATTTCCTCTAGATAGAACTCTTCTTTAATTGGAGTCCTGTGGATTGCATCTGAGAGTTCAGCCAGCCGGAGTGGGAGGAGTCAGCTTTATGCTAGAACCTTAGCACCCTGACCTGGTATCTAATGAGGGGGTTGAAGGGTAGCAAGCACAGGCTGTCTGACAGTGGCTGTGCTTTCTTCAGCAACCTAAGGAAATTTGTGCACTGTTTGGCTTCTGTGATGAGGTCAAGAAGGTGCCAATGAAGACTCTGGTCCCCGCCAATGTGGCCATCAAGAACATCCTCCCTGCCCTGGAACTGATGGAGCCCCGTGAGGTAATTGTCCCTGTTCTCTGCTGCCTAGGCCTGATCACTCTGTCCTTCCACCCTGTCACGTCCTCTTCGTTCCTTGCCTGGCTTCTAAATGAATTTGGACTTGAGACCTGGAGTTCCAAGTGCCTATATGTAGATCCCAGCCCTAGACCTTTGGGAAACTCCTGTTCTACAGCCAACTGGTAGAGGGCCTGGCTCCACGTGTGCTTTTTGGGTCCTGTCCCTCAGAGCCACATCACAAATTAGAGGTTCCCAAACACGTGCCGAAGTGGGGACAGCAGCCTCATTGGGCCTGTGTGTATGTACATAGGCAATACTGTGTCCTTAGAATCCTTCTTTGGCCGGGGTATGTTGTTCCATCCCATAATGCATCTGCATTGAATATGGTTGTGGGTCAGGTAGTATTCTGGTATGCCCTGTGTCCCTGCCTGCTCATGACCTAATGGCGTCACACAAAAAGCATATGCACATTCTTCTTTTTCAAGAACGTCCATGGCATTTGGCCTAGCTGTCTCCTTTTCCATTACCTGGACACACTTCTGGTTCTAGAACACTCATGGTGTCTGGCTTAGCTATCCTCTGTACCATCGCCTGGCTATGCTCCTTTGGTTCTAGAACACCCATAGTATCTTGCCTACCTGTTGCCTGTTCTGTCTCCTTTATTTTCAGTGTGTAGCAACAGGAAAGGACAAAGCATCCGATGGAATAACGGAATTGTCTGGGTACCACTCTCTTCTCCCACTCTAGTTCATGAGAGAAGGCAGAGTCATTAGAATTAAAGATTCCAATCTTTGGGGTACACTGAATTCTAAGGGCCTGTTAGATAGCAGAGATGGAAGATGGCAGACACACGGGTTCCCTGCCAGCACTGTATTAGCAGAGCTGGATTCTGAGCAGCAGTTTCAGGTGGCAATGAGATTTCAGGACTGACTTTAAACAGGCAGGTACCAGATTTGTTCTACACTGCCATCTGCCTCTCCCACATGAACACAGGATGGTAAAGTGATGAAATGTCCAGGGGACAGCTGTTCCAGGCAGGAAAGGACAGCCTGTACTTCCTGAAGTGGGTGCACTAGGATGAACACTCTCCTCTTGCCCTTCACAGAAGGATCTGATGCAAAATGCGATTTTGTGCCGGGCTTGTCAGTTTCTGATGCAGAAGGTGTCTGAACTGGTTGCCAACAATGGCACTGAGGTATGCAGGCTCTTGCGTGGGAGGTCTGCTCTGTACTCCAGAGTCATGAGGTGCCCGTGGGATGTCATCTGGCAGATGCACACCCTAGTGCCCAGTGGGAGGTTTCCGGGGAGGGACCTAGCACTGCACTCTTGACTAGTTCCCTGGTGGGTCTATGATACAATCCTTTCGCCTGTTTCAGGAACTATTAATTAAAGGTTTGCGCAACGCATGCTCGCTGCTCCCCCCTCCTGATTCAACCAAGTGCCAGGAGGTGGTAGAGACATACGGCCCTTCCCTGCTGGATATCCTTCTGCACGAGGTGAGCCCAGACTTGCTGTGTAGTGCATTCCTCCTCTGCTCTGGTAGCCCTGATTCGTCGGAGACACTTGAGCAGCCTGCATTACCCCTTGTACCTGCACTGCCAAAAGAGACCGAGCTGCCCAAACAGTCTGCATTGCGCGGTAAGTCCAATGGGGAAGGGCCTGTTCTCAGGTTAAGGAGGACCTTGCCAATATTGAGGCCTACATTTTCTTTTCTGTAGCACATGTGCCTCCTCAGAAGAATGGTGGGTTCTGTGAGGTGTGCAAGAAACTGGTCGGCTATTTGGAACACAACCTGGAGAAAAACAGCACGAAGGAAGAGATACTGGCTGCACTTGAAAAGGGCTGCAGCTTTCTGCCCGACCCCTACCAGAAGCAGGTATGGGCATGGCTGGCTACTGCTAATGTCCAGTACACGCGTGCAGGGGGATCCTCTGTGCTGTAGTCTTGAGGCTGAGAGGCAGCACATGGAGCTGAGGAAGGAAAAGGACCTAGGCTAGTGGGATCAGCCTCTGGATCCTGAGTTCTGAAATGGCACGGTCTCTGGTATAATGTCTAGCTGTGTGGACACAACCAAGACTGTAACCCACGTCTGTTTCCTTGGCAGTGTGATGAGTTTGTTGCTGAGTATGAGCCCTTGCTAGTGGAAGTCCTTGTGGAAGTGATGGATCCTTCCTTTGTGTGCTCGGTAAGCCTCGCCAGATGCCTGGGCCTTGCACCAGCATGGATATGGTCTAAGTGGGTTGGGGTCGGGGAACTCTGTCAGATGCTGGAAATGGTTCAGTCTCATCAATAAAGGGGTTTGGCAGGGTGGCTTATTTTCATTTTTTTGTTTCGTTTTGTTTTTGTCATACAGAGAATTGGAGCTTGCCCTTCTGCGTATAAGCTGTTGCTGGGAACTGAGAAGTGTGTCTGGGGCCCTAGCTATTGGTGTCAGAACATGGAGACGGCGGCCCGCTGCAATGTGAGTGTCCTAGACCGCCTTCTACAGAGAGGATTGCCTCATGGAAAGGGAAGAGCCATAGCCCTAACTGCGCTTTTGTCGAGGGTTGCTAATGTGGGTGCATACTGACCTGTGGGATATGTGGAAGTCAGAGGAGAATTTTGTGGAACTGGCTCTCTTCTCCCACTCCTGAACTCAGTGCATTATTAAGCTTCCATGGCATGGCCTCTTCTTACCCATTGTGCCATCTCGGTGTCCCCTAGTATTTTCTTTCTTATTGATCGTGTGTGAAAATACACGATCACTAGGGATCCCAAACCTGTGGGACCCATGGCCCATGCCTCCGCACAAGTCCTCAGGGTTCCCCATGGGTTTCCTGGCTGAGGCCCATTTTGAGCCTTGACTCAAGGGTGTAACCAACACTGTTTTGAGCAGCCCTAGGGGCTAGACTTGTTTACACTAGTAGGGTATTGGACCTGGATTCTGGTAAGTAATGCTTCCACTACCTTTGCTCTCTCTCCGTGGTTCCATGTCAGGGAGATGAGTCAGCCTGGGCCACTGCTGGGCTAGCTGTACTGTTATACCCTATGGGTAGCATGTGGGCTTGAAGCTGCCCCTTTTGAGCCCTTGTTAATTGCCTTGCTACTGCTGGATGAGATTTTTGGTTGAACAGCAGGACATACCCGGGGACCCGCTGACAGTGGTTGAAGGGGTCCCGCTGTACCAGTCCTCTTACAGGACAGCAATGGGCTATGCCTCTCTGGTTCTGGCCACAGGTCCTCTTTTGCTACTGTCCTAGGTTCTTAGCATCTGTGACTTGTGTGAAGCTAGGCCACATTTTGCAGTGATGCTGATGTGCAGGTGAACCAAGAATATTTGTCCTGTGCAGCCTAACCGCCTTCTTTTCTTCTCGCAGGCTGTCGACCATTGCAAACGCCATGTGTGGAACTAGTTTTCAAGCTAGCAGAAGATGCCTACTTGTGCGTCTAGGGTAGCACACAGATCTATTTGACTTCATAATAAGTAGGAACGCCCCCCCCCCTTTTTTTTTTTTTTTGGTCTATCTCCCATCTCTCCCCTTTACTAGAGCATTGCTGTCTAGTGTCATGTCTAGCCACTTCAGAGTCCCCTTTCTATTGGAAGGATGAGGACATTTAGGCATCAGCTCCCCAGTTGCCCTTTCACCCACCTGCTGGAGGGGGGTGGTGAGCCAGAGGGCAGAGGCATTTTCTGAGGCCTGACTTGGTGTGTGGGAGGTATGGTGGGGGGGTATCTATGACCATGTCCTACCTTAAGGGAGCTGCCCACCCTCCTATGGTACCAAGGAGTTTGCTTTGAATGATTAGAAGCACAGAATTGTCAGGCCTTTAGAATGATGGAGTTGCCATTGTCACAGCACAGAGATTCAGAAGCACCTGCTTGGGCCCTTGCTATCCATAGGCTACTCTTCCGCTCTGCTTTCCTGTCTTCCTATCTGCCTTGTTGGGGGTTCTGTGGGGTGGGGTAGGGAGGGGAGGGGGAACTTCTGAATGTAACTTGCCCGTGCCGTGTGGTGCTCTTGTGGTCCTGGCCTTTCGTATGTGAAACGTGTGAACCGCGGTCTCTGCCTGGCTGTGGGGCCCCTGCATGCCCCTTTCCTACCTTGTAGCTCTTCCTGTTGAATTGCCCTTTCACCGCATCATTGGAGGAAGTGCCTGCCTATCAGTGGGTGATGAGCCAAGGGGTCTCTGTGTACAGGAACTGCACGGAATCTTGGATGGCTGAAGCTTCCTGTGCCTTCAGTTGCCAGGAGACAGCCAGCAGGATGGGCACGTGCAGTTACATGGACCTACTGATTTTGTTTTGCACTAAAGTTTCTGTGACTGAATAAAGTTCTGTTAATCAGGTCTGGGCTTGTTTTTTTTTTTTTTTTTTTTGACACCTCAGCTAGAAGAGAATGGGTTTTGAGTCTACTGCCCCTTCAGCTCCTGGCCGCTCCTTCTAGCCAAGAGGCCACTCCCATCCCCCAGGACCTTATACGCCACCACCAGTCGGTGTTGCTGGTTCCATGTGAGTTGCTTTTTCTTTTTAAATAGAGCATTCCAGAAACTTCCATTGAGCATCAGTTAAACAAAACCTGGAGGAAATTTTGAGGGAATAACTTAATTTAGAGGAATACACACAAACACTCTACATTCAAAACCCAAGGGAACATCAGTCATGTCTGTCAGCTGGGCACCCTGAGATGGGATGGATGCTTGGTTGCCAACATCAGCCTGTGTGTGTGGAGGGGGCAGGGAGCCACCTGGATGTCCAGCAGGTGGAAGTGCAGTGGGACTTTGAATTGAGGCAGGGGTAGGCCAGCAGGGTTGTCAGTTCTTTGCTGGGCCCTGGGCCCTGCTTGGCATAGGGAGGGGCTGAGCTGGTCCTCATTTTCTGGGGCTCCCCTAGTGACCCTCCTTACCTCGTTCTTAGACACTAAGCATTTTTAAGTTTTCTTAAAAAAATAACCAATTTTATGAAGGTAGAGATCAGGTGCTGAATCAGTTTCTGGCTGTGCAGGCTGCCAGGGCCAGCCCAAGATCGCTCCCAACGGCTGGGCTGGGTAGAGAGTTGGCCATGTTCCTGCCCTGGAGGGTGGTGGATGGGCTGCTCAGCAGCAAGGCTTGACATCACAGCTCCGTGATTTCCAGGGGACTCTCCATGATCACGTCTCGAAGCTTATGCAGAGGCGTGGACTTGGCCGACTCTGTGCGGGCATTGCGTTCGAAGGCAGTAGTGTCAGAGGCTGTCAGAGTCTCCAGTGAGCGGTCCAGCCCCTTCTGGTCGTCCTCTGGCAAGCTGTTGAGGTCAGTGGCCAGCAGTGTGCCTGTGCTGCCATGAACCATGTGGATTCCGTCTGGTCCCTTGAGCTCCATGGGTGGCTTGTGGCGGAAATGGAGGCTGCCCTGGCCTGGGCTGTGGTCTCCGGGCTCCTCCTCCAGCTCATTGTGGATCAGCTGCAAAAGGTGGGACACCCTCATGGCTCACAAACTACAGAAAGCTGAGGGTTGTGCCCGGGTGTGAGTGGATAGCCCCAGAACCTCAGTGGCTGTGACTTGCCTCTGCTGTCTCATCTAACAGATCTATCCAACAGGCCTGCCAGCCTTCTCAAGTGGAGGGCAAAGGCTGGATCACCCCCTGCCCCCGTACATGGATGTCAGTCTGGATACCACTGTGGTGTCTGGGTTGTAACCTTGTCGATACTAAGCTTGGCCAGGTACAACGTCCAGAAGTAGGAGCACTTTGGTCCTACTGCAAGCTTTCTGCCCACTTCATAGTGTACACCCAGGTAGAAATGGGCTTGAAGGAAAGCCAGTCGAAGACTCAGTCTAGTTGCTGGAATAGGAGCCAAATGAAGGCAGGCCTGCTTAGCCCTCTTGGCCCATTTCTTAGTGAAGGCCTCTTAGAAGGTGGTTATGGGGTTCTCAGACTCTTAAGAACTACTGCTTTTTTGAGCCCACCTCATTCAGACAATACAACCTTCTTTCTGACTTCCTGGAGTCACGCTCCCCCAACCCCCCCTGCAACCTTTTGGTTTGGCTGCTAGGTTATAGATGGAAGAACAGACAATTCCAGAGACAATGGCCAGTAACAGGGTGGTATGAGAGTGAGAGGGAACAGCATCCCCAGGAATGGGGCACGGCACACAGCCCCCAGCTCCCAAGGCCACCTCACTACCTCAGAGAAGGAGGAACGGCAGGAGGCTTTTTGTACCATCCGTTGTGCAAGAAGTTTTTTGAGCCGTAGGTAATCCTCCAGGACCACCTTCAGCAATGAGCCCTGAGGGAGGGAGAGGGTTAACCCCCCGCTTAGGCTGGCCCTACCCCACACACTCCCATGGCAGTCAGGGTAGCCCAGGTGTCAGTGTTGGGTCCTAATGCAGAGGATGGGAAGAGAGCCTGAAAACTGGCCAGCCTAAGACAGCACAGGCTGCAGAGCTGCATTCATCCTAGTTTGAATTCCCTTCAATCCTGATAGAAGGCAGGTCAGGTAATAAGCCTACAGTCTGCATCTCCTTGCATCCTTCAGTACAGGGTCTGGGCACAGGACCCTGCAAGGGAAGGCTCACCTTGATAGGGCCCTCTCGAATGATCTGGCCCAGCTTGGCAATGTTGTCATACTCCTGGATGGCTGCACGCAGGTATCGGTCATCATCAGGCTTGACTGCTGCTGGTTCTCGTCCAAACGTTCCCTGGGGGAGAGGGAACATCTGCTAGAGCAGAGTGGTTGACGTCATAGGCAGACAGGGTAGATGACTGCCCTCCAAAGTCTTCAGCTTGGCCACAGGCTGCTACCCTGGCTCACATGGGTGCGAGTGGGGCTGTTCCACAGATCTGCGATCTCACTCAGGTTCTCAGGCAGGTCATCCTCATGCTCAGCCTGCGCAGCCAGCTCCAGGTTCCGGCAGAAAGGATCCAGCCACACAGGGTTGGCTCTGCAGTTGGGGTGTGTAATAGAGTGGGCCAGGTGCCTTGACAGAACCTTGCCTCTAAGACCCGCCCATTCCCTTGGCCAGCCATAGAGCCTTGAACAGGTCTTCATAGGAACTCTGCCATGGCACCTGTGGCTGCATCCTTCTATCCTAGGATCCTGCTAGAGCAGGACTGCATGCCAGCCGGGGTCCGCTTTGTTTGAGAGGTCTCACCCCCTCCTTCTCTATGCTCCCTTGGAAGTGGGACCTGGACAGCACAGTTCTGAGAGTGCAGAGAAGTGACAAGCCCACTAGGGGGTGCCCACACTCTGTGTCAGCCACTGTGTTGGCTGCTGTGGATACTGCTCACTAGTTGCGTACTGCCGGGATCACCAAAGGTGATCTGCAGACTTGAGGAGTCCACACACCCGTCAAAGGAGTATTTGTTGGTATTGGGCATGTCCATGATGTCAATGAAGCCACGGTTCCCTGCAGGGAGAGAATTTGAGTGAGGAGGAAAAGGGTACAACCAATTGGAGTACCTGGCTGCCTTAACCTGATCCCCAATAGCCTTCACTCACCTGCAGAACCAGCTACTATTGCCTTTAGCTTTCTCTTGTGTCTGGAGAGAGAAGGAGGGAGGAAAGAGGGAGAGTCAGTCAGTCCCATAAGGGAAGCTGGCCTACTATCTCTGGTCCTTGGCCCTGCCTGCCTTGGTACCCACTGTCCAGCAGACACTGGCCGTTCTGGTTCAGGCTAGAGGTGGGGACACTCACACGGTCCTGTAGTACCAGTTCATGAGGACAAAAAGCATGGCCGCCAAGAAGAGAAGGATGGCAAGGACAATGATGGCCATCTGTGGAGATAGCAGGCCAGCCATTAGGTAGGTTCAGGGGCACAACCCAGACCACAGGGACTGGAACAAGGATACCTGCAGGGCAGACATGTCATCCGGCAGCCGTACAGAGATGGCAGGCTGTACGTCCAGTACATTGTAGTTCCGGAATAGGTTCCGAAGCTGTTCTTTGTTCTCATCAATCATCTGGATGACCCTGCACAATGGCCGTGGTCTCTGCTCCACCTCAGCCACCCACAGCCTCCAAGAGCCATCCCACATCCCGCAGCAACGTGCTCTGCTGCCGCCAGGAGACCCAAAGTTCAATTGCTGCTCTGAAGCCTTCCCAGAGAAAAGCCTCTTAGCTGGAAAAGCGTAGCATCTTAAAGGGGCCCCAGGCCTGTGTCCAGGGCCCTCATAGACCCCAAACAAATGAAGTTTTATAACAAGGAGAGTGTGGTAGTGTGAATAGGGATGACCCCAGTTAAGCTCAAATTTGAATGCTTGCTCACTAGGGAGCAGCCCTGTTAGGGAGTGTGACCTTGTTGGAGTAGTTGTGGCCTTGTTGGAGGAAGTGTGTCACTGAGGGTTGGGCATTGAGGTTTCAGATGCTCAAGCCAGGCCCAGTCTCTCTCACTCTTCCTGCTGCCTGTAGATCCAGACGTAAAACCTCTCTAGCACCATGTCTGCCTGCGGGCTGCCTTGCTTCCCACCATGATGATAATTGACTAAATCTCTGAACTGTAAACCATCCCCAATTAAATGTTTCCTTTATAAGAGTTGCTGTGGCCACGGTGTCTCTTCACAGCAATAGGAGCCCTGACTAATCAGTGAGGCTCAGAGAGATGAGCATAGCTCCTGCTGTCTTGCTCTGTTCTTCCCCAGCTCTGAATGCAGCGAGGCTGACTGTAAACATTGTGCCTTCTTTGGGGCTCCTCTCCCACAAAGCAGGCAGGCAGGCAGTCCAAACACAGACCCCCTACACCTACCTGTCCACATCCAGGATGCGGTTTGTGTCCCGGTTGACCACGTGAATGAGCAGCTCTGTCTGTGCAAAGTTCACCCGCCCCTTCTTGTCCACATGGAACTAAGGGAGAAGAGAGTTTGTGGGAGTAAAACCACATTTTGCACAAGGGATGGGATGGGATGGGCAGGCATCTTTCAAGAGCCCACCCCATGTATCTGATGAGACTTACCACTACTGAATCTCCCTGACTTAGCCACTAGCTCCCACAAAGGGCTCATTCATTATCAGCCTTATTTATGGGTAAGGAAATGTAGGTCCACAGACCCGGTGCCTTCTGTCAAAGCCATGTGGCTATGAAGTGACTAAGAGGGACCTCGTCTGCCCCATCTCTTCCCACTGCCCCAGTCCTAGGGCCCCAGGACACCTGCACGTCATCAGTGTTGACAATGGCGCCTGTGATGTTGGACAGCAGGCGAATGAACTCCTCCTCAAAGCCACGCACACGGTCTGGGATCTCATTGATGACTATCTTAACACGCTGGTCATCCCTCAAGATGTAGATGCCAATGATGGCAGTATCATTGTGGCCAGCCAGGTCTCGGGCCACAATGTCTACCACAAAATAGCCAGGGCTGTAGGCCATGAAGAGATCAAAGGTGCGTAGGATGCCATCCACACTCCCTGTGAAAAATACAGGTGTGGCACAGCTCAGGGGCCACACATTTATGCTGACTCCTGCCCCCTACCCCACATCCTTGGGGAGCAGTCATTTCTTCGCCCCTCCCACCCTGAGGGCTGGGATAATGGGCATATGCTACCATGCCTGGCTGAAATCTCCTTATCTTTAATGGTTGCTCCAGTTTATTTAAACACTGCATTTTATTTTATATTATTTTATTTCTGATTTTTTGAGACAGGGTTTCCCTGTACAGCGCTGGCTGTCCTAGAACTCACTATGTAGACTGAACTGGCCTCAAATTCAGAGATCCACATGCCTCTGCCTCCCAAGTGCTGGGTTTAAAGGCACGCACCACCACCACCAGCACCCAACCTAAACATTGCATTTTAAATAACTGCAGGCTCTCCTGCCCAAGGATGAGGAGGGTGTGATGACTATTTCTGAGCTCCATAGGGTCTTTCCCATGTACCAGACCAGTGTTTCTCAACATTCCTAGACACGTGCTTTAGAATTACACGAATATAACAGAGATGGCATGGTCACAACCCCTTGGAGGGTTGAACTGCCCTTCCTTTCACAGGGGTCACTTAAGACCATTAGAAAATACACATTAAATTATAATCCACAACAGTAGCAAAATTATAGTTATGAAGTAGCAATGAAAATAATTTTATGGTTTGGGTCACCACAACATGAGGAACTATATTAAAAGAGTCACATTATTAGGAAGGTTGAGAACCACTGGCCTAGACAACTCTAAAAGAGATGGAAGACCTGGGTTCAAAACCTGCCACTTTCTAGCCATGTGGCAAGTTCCCTCACTCCTCTGTAACTTGGTTTAAAGTCAGAGGAGTGAGGGCTGAGATCATAGCTCAGTGGTAGTGCTTGCCCATCATGCCCAAGGCCATGGCTTCAGTCTCTAGCATCACATTTAAAAAAGGGCAGGGAGAGTACATGGGATCTGCCTATGTAACTCAAGCAGATGAGTTCTGAACTATACCTTGAAGGACAAGGTGGACATATTAGGAAAGATGAAGATTGGGATGGCATCAAGGAAATAAAGTAGAAGGGTCAATGGCCTAGGGGTAGATGGAGTATACTGGCTGAGGTGGCATGGCTTGTCTGGATACAGAGCCCATACAGATGGTAGGGGGCTATAAGGCCAGAAGCGGGGACTAGAAGGAATATATAGGAGCCTTGGATATCAGGCCAAGTCTTCCTGGCAGTCAAGACTGACACATAGATGAGGAGTCCATATTGGGTGGAAAATAATGGGCACCTTTGAGGCCCTGCTCCAGAGTGTCTTGTTCATCCACACAGATGAAAGCTCAAGCAACATATACCTTCAGAGCTATGCTGCCAGCTCCCCAGTGCCTTGCCGAATGCCTGACACACAAGAGAAGGGGTGCAAATGCAGAGATGGGGAACACTGTGGAAAGCATCATGGGGAGAGGGGTGAATAACATAGAGAGAAGTGGATGGGCAAGAAGATGAGAAAAGCAAAAGAGGCCTGGGCTACAGTTCTGTTGATGAAGGCCTTAACCAGTATGGATGAAGCTCTGGGTTTTATACCCAGCACTGTATAAATTTGGTGTGGTGGTAATATGACCATGATCCCAGTACTTGGGAGGTGGAGGATCAAGAATGCAAGATTTTTTTTTAATTGAGACTGTAGGTTTCACTATATGGCCTTGGTTGTCCTGAAACTTAATCTGTGGACCAGGCTGGCCTCAAACTCAAAAAGATCGGTCTGCTTCTGCCACCTGAGTGCTGGGACTAAAGGCTTGCATCACCATACATGGCTCAAGATCATTCTTGACTACATAGAGAGCTTGAAGCCAGATGAGCTACACAAGACCCTGATGTTTAAAAAAAAAAAAAAAAATTAAAACAAGGCCAGTGAGATGACTCACTTGCAGCCAAGCCTGATGGCCTGCTTTTGATCCCTGTGAACTCACATGGTCATGGAGAGAAAATGCTGTCTCCTGACATTCTGCACATGTTCTGTGGGTAGGCACCACCCTCCTTGAAATAAAAATGCACCCCACCACTCAAACATAAAAAGAGTATGTGCATAGATGGAAATGTATAGGTAGAGCATAAATAGAATAGGAGAAACTAGATGGTTGAACAGAGGGCTGACATGAATGACCACCTAGGTCCTGTGTTCACACAAACTCTGTCTCTGGACTGAAGTCCGTGTGGTGACAGGGGCTCCTACCCATGGTGAAGACCTGGCCCACATCCTCAGAGTCATTTGCAAGGGCCCGGAAGTAGTGGATAGCCAGAATGCCATAGAAGACCAGGCTGTTGTTGCCAATGTCAGCATCCAAGGCCAGCACCTGGATCAACTCCGAGCCTACCTTGGCATCGGTGGCCACTCCTGTGGGAACAGGCAGGTCACATAAATGTTAGGGAAATAGCCACCCATGCCCTCAGGCCCTGGCTGGTCCCTGCACCTGCGGTATACTCAGCCTTGGTGAAGCATGGTGGCTGGTCATTGATGTCCTCGAGCACAACGCGCACCTCCTGCAGGGTGAGGTCAGTCAGCAGATCGAGGCCTGGGAAGGGGCCTCGGGGAGGGGTCCAGCTACGATTGCTGGAGGCTTTGACAATGAAGGAGAAGATGGCTTCCTTTTCCCTATCCAGGTCTCTCAACACTAGCAGACGTCCGTCTGGTTGTAGGTGAAAGTTTTTGTCCTCATTACCAGCTGCAGGTGGACAGGGCACAGGTTGAGGGGAAGGGCACCCAGAGTCCCCTTAAAACCCAGGGCAGGTGGGACACTGGCTCCACTGACTGCACCTGCAATGAAGTAGTACACGATGGCATTGGGACCCTCATCTGCATCCACGGCACCTGTCACATTGCCCACAAGGGTGCCACGGGGTGAGTGCTCAGGCACTGTCAGCAGCTGGTACTGGGGGCTTCCCTTCTGGAGGAGAGAAGGTCATTAGAGGAGGCCCAAGCTTCAGCCCTGGCCTAGAAGACCTTTGGTATCTACTCTGTGGGGCTGAGGCCTCTATTGCCTAGAGCACAAGCAGAACCCCTGTAATCTCCATGAGGACAGGGTTTAACCTTCTCATATTTATTCCCAGTACCTGAGAGCATGTTCCATCAAGTGTCTGTGCTCTTATATGCATGCACCCTCCCACCTACCCATCCATCCATCCATCCATCCATCCATCCATCCATCCATCATCCATCCATACATCTATCTATTC